TTTTTTTTTTTGGCTCCTTAAATTTGGCTTTTGTCTTCAACATATCATTTTACATGGTGCATATCAGAGAGAGGAATGATCTAATGAACGCTAATTTTCAATTTATGTTAAGTACCGATAACGTGTATGTTTGAAGATTCATATATTGGCCGTTGCGTTTAGAGACCCTCCTAGAAGTAACTGGTAATGATGGCATTTGGATCTATACATCCCACGTTTTCAATACCTTGAACTGGTCAAAATTATTTGACATTCGGGCAGGAGACAAAGGAAAACATTAAGTTGAGGGCCATGCATGTTACCTGCATAATTTTCTAATTCAAAGTTTGATACAGAAATCAATGTCACTTTTTATTTTTCCATGTATAAAATCTTGACATTTCAATGGAAAACCATTAGATTCCTGCTTCACTATCAGCAGACTTGTTGTACCATTTGCATTATGGCATGACAATTCGTCCCTTGTCTCTGTCTTAAATTCTTAATCCTTACATCATCTTTCTGTTCATGTCCTGTTTGTCAAAGTTTTATAGATTAATTTATAGATATTTCAGCTCATTTACTCCATCCCCTGGAATAAGCAGTGATTCTGAAAGTCTTACAATGAATTTTGGTGTTTGGTTTAATGAACCCTTTGTTTGTTATTAATTATAAAATAGATTAGTTAGATCGCAAATAACCACCAGAAACGAACTTAATTTTACTCCGTCTCTCCTTTTTCTAACTTGATTTACAAAATCACGTCACTCTTATGAATTTGAGAGTAGACAAATCCAGCTACGTAAACCATCATTTCCTTAATTTAATCTTTATTCCCGTCAACTCCACTTATTGCCATTTTGCTTTTAAAGTTCGTAAAAAATAACTACAAAAGTTCTAGTCATCGTTTGTTATGTCACTTCATACCAAATTCATTCTCCCTCCCCAGACAATTTTTTGAAGATAAATATGAGATAAGGATCAAACTAGACTACAGCTAACACGAGTACAAGCTCAAGGGACCACAGATTCTTAAAGAGGATGGAATATCATGGGATTTGAGGTTTTCACCCAAAGAATTGGGTATATGATACAATGGGGGCATTTGGCTTTTGTTTTCTTGATTCATGAATAAGACCTAGATACATTGAATTCCACAGAAAAGTGCTTTCTTTCTTCTTTTTCCCCCCTTCTCCAAGACCCATTTTAATACAAGTTTATGGGAAAAAGCCAAAACCCTTCTCTAGTCACATCTTATTGAAGCAGTGGTGCCATTTCTCCCATTGTTCCATGTCTCTTTGTATATCAACACATTCGAAGTCCTTATCTACATCCTCTTAGCTAGCTGTCCTATCAGAATTTATGTTCTTTTCTCGTATAAGATACATATACTATTTTTGTTTCTTGCTGTGTCTAATATTACGTACTAAACATACACTAAACAATAAGATTCAAGAAGTACCCAATCTCAACTAAAAACAATCGTTTCAAGTAAATCGATAACAAAAGGCCCAAATCCAGTTCGAAGATGGAATGGAATTATATATTAGAAAATGTTGGAAGGTTTTTTCTTATAGAACGTGAGAAGATGAGTAGAGAGAGAAGTTGGAATATTGCAGAAACTTGAACTTGACAATACCAACTTTAAAACATGCTAAAATGTCGCATACTCGTACGTGTATTTGTCACCACCAATTTTCACGATGCTCACGAATACAAATATGCCTCAAAGATATGATGAGTCTCAGTGTTATTTGCGTTGTGCAAACACGAAGAGAAGCCGAACGCCAAAGAAAAAGTATAAACAAGATTGGAGGAGAAGAATGCACAAAATTCGAATTTGAGATGCAAAATAGAGGCAAAGTAAGAACTTCAAAATTCTTGTATCATCAAATGGAAATGGTGAAACCTTATAGATTTTTCATCTAGAAGTTACATCCATTCATATGTAGCTTTTTGGCTTGAATTGAAATTCAGATTTAGTAGAACTTAAAACAAAAAAAACTGCCCAAATAATCAAAGTATGGAGACAATGGCTGCAATTGTAAAACTGTTTAGATATAAAATCCGAATAAGAGTACCTGGTGACACTATTGACACCAGAACAATTCCAAATTTGGGTCCGTCTAGAATCTCAACCACAATTATGAGCATCAATCGAATTTATCTAGAAGTATAAAAAGAAAAAAACTGGTAGTAATACAAGGGAAATTTGCTTATGTTCTTTTATCCATGTATACACTGAGATTCATTTTTCTCTACAGATACACTGGTTTTCCATGACCCCACCATCCTCGTACAATTGATTGGAGCCAAATTCCCAGGAAGGGCATATCTTCTCTCAAGCCATGGTGCTACTCTTTAACACAGTATTCTGTGCACGTCGTATCAATACAGTCAACGTTCTTATCTACAACGTCTTGGTGAGCTGATCCCTAACAAAATTTTTGTTCTCCTTTACTAGAAAATGCTAATTAATTTGAACCGTAAGTTGGCATAAATCCTTTGGCGTGTTGACTCTCCATTTCAAGGGTCATCAAGGATTTCTGCCTGTGATATCTGTTTCTCTTTGCAGCAAGAGCTGGACGAGATAATAATTAAAGAAAGCAAAGGAAAAATCACAATGTTATGTGAGCACATTTGCAAAATAAAAATAAAAATACAACAACCAGCAAGTTACATTTGATTCTTATTTGATGCAACCGGTTTAATCTGACGTGAAACTAAGGCTGATCAACTGATTTAAGAACATGCAATTACACAAACAGTGTCAACAAAAGTCAAGTCCTTTACTTGTAGGGACAAAAGTTTTGGTGAACACGAAAAGAAGGAACAAAAATCTTGCAGCATGGATTGTTAGGTCTGAGCAAGCCTTGCCCCAACAGTGGCATATAAAGGCTGAAAGATGAGCCATTACCTCAAAAGTAAAGAAGAGACAACTTTAAAATCCATAACACAAATATTTTGTTAGAAAGACCAAGAGAAGACAGGTGTTAGAGTGGAATATACCTTGAGTACACAGCAAATATCAAAGAATTTAAGGAGATAAATAGAACATGATGATACTAGTTAAAGAAGAACTTACACATTAGTTCATGAGGTAGACCAAAGTCATAGTCATTGCGCCTCCTCCACACACAACAATAGTACATCCCAAGCAGCAGCACCGATAATAAAAATAGACAGGCAAGACCGATAGCAACTTTGCCACCAGTAGATAAGCCATTTTTCCCCCAAAATAGTGGACAATCAGGCAAAGATGGTACACCACACAAGCCTTTGTTGCCAGAAAGACTGTGAAAGAAACAAAAGTATCTTAGAGAAGTAAAAGAGACCGCTATAAGTTTCGAGGAAGCAAGAATTGAAGCTGAAATTAGAAAAAAGAACTCATGTTTATTTTATGAACATATATGGTGATTAGATCTTGATGGTCTGGCAGATATACCCTTTATCCCCTACCCTAGAAAAATTATAGGGTGACAGTTCATTGTGCTAAGAGTGAACAATGATTGCTAGGCAAGCTTTGACAAACTTGATAAAGTTCGCACACGTACGTATTTATGTTAGAGTTGATATACCAACATTTGTGTTGCGTTTTGATACCCAATAAATCCCGAGTTTTGATATAAACATTGAATATAATTTCACAGGCCTCGGTCAAATGCTGAATTGATTACCAACAACAATGTTCAAAGGCTTGACCCAAAAGCAACGTGGACAGTTGGAAGTAGCTTAAAAAATTAATCTTATATATATATACCTATTGGATGGCTTTCAGTCTTGATTCCACTTCTTCGATGGCGAACTGCGGGGGTGGCTGGCAGCGGCTCCTAGATTATTGGGGCAATTTGCGAGGATGCTTTCTCACCAAAACGTTCTTTATTCTGTCTAGGTAAGGTTTTTTCTTTTGTTGAACTCATGACTACCCCTTCTCGATAGATAACCTCTCTTTGGCTCTGTTTCTGGGGTTGTTTTCCTTTATTCAAGGATTTAGCATAGTTCCTTTTGAGTTGCATCTTTCAATACCTCGATCATGTCCCGTATTGATCTTTTTCAAGAACGTCACCTTTTGTTCAAAGGCCTTATCCCACAGGTGCTCGTGGTTTTGCTATTCCAAGCTTCCCACAGACGGTGCCAATCTGTTAACCTCCAAAAAAGATGCCAACTGATGTCAGGCCCACTCGTGTCCATGTGGACAAATTTTGGGGTGTTTGGATTGTTGATTTGATCAGATGGTAAAATGGACGTATTCTCATCCGACGCGAGACTAAGCAGTTTAGAAGCCGACAAAGTGACCGAAAAACTCTCACATGGACAGTGATAATCTTACCCAAACATAATTACAACTTTTGCAAGTAAATGATAAAAGAGAGCAAAATAGGAACACAATCAAATGGCAAGAGACGTATGGAGTTGTATTTATTTTCCTCTCCAAAATGTGCCAAAAATTTATGTACATGTTCTTTATTCATCTTCCCAAGTTTTCTCTCTTTTTTCTCTATCTGTGTTGTTCCTCTCCCTCCTTCCTCTTTTCCTAAGGGGAGGTTATATATAGAGTTTGGGGAAGAGGGTGAGGATCGTTGGATCCAAACCACGTGCCCTCCCCCCTTCTTTTATATATCACATCATTTTTACATATGCATTTATTTCATTGACAAAAAGCCAACTGTCCAATACTTCTAGATTTATATTCTTGACATAAGATAAAGTAAACATCTAATCAGTTTTTCACAAAGATATTCGTCAAGTTAGCAAATGTGGCAGCCTCTTCGCCTCTTAGGACTTCAGCCTCATCTTTTAGAACCTTGACTGGTTGTGAACATGAGGATTTCGACATAGACCCTTTATTAGGACTTCATGATCCATCTAGTTAAATGGCAACTTGGCCAGAACAAGGATTTCGGCTTCTGGAGCCAATCTGTAACCTTATTGCTTCGTCTCTTCATATGTTTTGAGCCGACTCTTCTGATGACGCTAGTGAATTTTCCACGTGGCGCTATCTTATGATTAACTTAATACAGGGAGTAACAATCTGCTTGAGCTCACTTTAAGAATTAATTTGCAATTATTTTAAACGTTTAGGGTAAACAAATTCAATTTGTAATTGTTTAAAACTCTGCATGTTGTGCTATTTTATATATTCAGAATATCTATAAATATTATGAATATATGATGCTCTATTGCTTAATTAGCACAAATCCAAGATTATCTACTTTTAATTTAATTTAATTTCACATGGCCCAGCTGCAACTTGATGTCGACTTTTCACTAACCATAGAAATAGAATGTTAAATTATATAATTAATCCCTTTACTTTGGCAATATGAACGTGTACGTGGCTCTGTTGGTCTCATTCAACGTGTCTTTAACCTAGTAATATACTATTATTTGCATGCATAAACCAACACAGACATGTATATTAATATTGTCCAATTATGTCATCCTGTTTTTAAATAATAAGAAAATATACATTTTTATCTATCAAAAACAAATTAAGAAATAACCTTAGTACATTACAAATGACTATAAAAGAAATTAATATGAAATAATTATGCAATCCAGCTTCCATAAAATAATCAAAGGGAATCAAGAAAATATTGTGTAGATTATAATAATCTTATGGTCTTTAACCTATAAAAGCATCTCCAATCGTGGTATAAAATTGAGTGTAAATTGGTTTATCTAATACTATCATTATATCCTCATATATATATTTTGATAGATCTAAATTCAACTTTTACTTCAATGGAAAGATCTAAATCCGTTTTCTACTTCTTCGATGTTTTACATTTTCAGTCAAACGACATAATTTACATTTTATATACATCTCTTCATTGAAGAGTTTTTCGATAACTTTGAATATCTAAATCATAATTTACATTTATTTTACATTGCGACAACTTTCCTACTGAAATTTGATTATTCTTATTTTTGAGTCAAAAAGCATATTATTGATTCTGCGGAGTTGCAGGCTGGCAGTCGAAAATATTGACTCAATAGGGACAGTATGTTACATTAATAATAGTTTGTGAAGTCATTAGTTTTGTTTTAAGGAAGATGCTGGAGCTACGGGGTTGTTTACCCCTTTAGATACTCACAACATGGACGGGGTGCGTGGGATTTGGACATTATTTTATACAAGTGGGTCCTACATGGGATCCATCTACTGTGAGTACCTATAGGGGTTCTGTGAACTGTACACTTAGTTTAATCCTTATTTTAAACATCTGAAAGTCGTCTTAAGATTTGCATAGGAGATTTGTCAACTTGGTTTTTTGTTGCCTAATTTCTATAGTCAAAATCAAATGCAAGTGATAAATGTGATTAAAAATATCACAATAAGACCTATGAGATTTGTTATGTTGCGTCTCTTTTGGTGCACAATGTCATCATCTTAAGTTTACCTATTGCCAAGTCCTCCCACTCTCCCACACGTTAATTTTCTCGTTTAAAAGTTTAAACGTTAAGAAAATTCACATCCATCAAATACAAATCTCGTTTTTCATCCATTTACTTGCACGCTACGGTCGAATTTGGTCTTTTTTTCAAATTTTATTTTCAATCACACATTTTATAAGTTTCACAATTTTTCAGCTTTTTAACTACACATTTCGTCTAATAATCTACTAAAAATCTCATTTTTATCTAAATCAAACAAAGGCTAAATTTCATTTTTCGATTAAATGTTGAATATGTAGACAATTTTTATAAATAAATATAGCGAGAGTTCAATCTAGATCTTTCAGTGAGCTCCGATACATAACAATCATCTAATCAAATTACTTAAGCTGGTAAAAAATAACCATATGTATTCATTTTAAATCTTAAATCTTATCTTCAACAATTACATGTGTGTGTATTGAAAGTGAAAGTCTCTCTATCGCTCTCTGCAAATTGACATAGTTGCATGGTTGCTTTAGAAAGGAGACAAAAGAATGAGTAGGTTTGATGGTTGTAGGACGCAGTTTTTTGACGATTTTTTTTTTTTTTCCCTTTTTGTATGTGTTTTACGTATTTATTTTGTGTGTGTGTGTGTGTGTGTGTGTCAAAAATTAAATTTACTAACTAGGAGCTTAATGATTAATTTGAGTTTAAATCAATAAACCTTGATTTGTTTTTACTAAATAAAGCTAAAATGACATTCGAGTATAATTAACTAGTTGTGTTTTAACTTTTAAGCTATTTTGTACCCTCTCAGAGCTTTACAATTTATTGTTCACGAATAAATCAAGTTAAAATCAAGATTTAGGGGGAAAAAAGCTTAAATTATTGGCATGAGTGTTTTTTTTTTTGGCTCCTTAAATTTGGCTTTTGTCTTCAACATATCATTTTACATGGTGCATATCAGAGAGAGGAATGATCTAATGAACGCTAATTTTCAATTTATGTTAAGTACCGATAACGTGTATGTTTGAAGATTCATATATTGGCCGTTGCGTTTAGAGACCCTCCTAGAAGTAACTGGTAATGATGGCATTTGGATCTATACATCCCACGTTTTCAATACCTTGAACTGGTCAAAATTATTTGACATTCGGGCAGGAGACAAAGGAAAACATTAAGTTGAGGGCCATGCATGTTACCTGCATAATTTTCTAATTCAAAGTTTGATACAGAAATCAATGTCACTTTTTATTTTTCCATGTATAAAATCTTGACATTTCAATGGAAAACCATTAGATTCCTGCTTCACTATCAGCAGACTTGTTGTACCATTTGCATTATGGCATGACAATTCGTCCCTTGTCTCTGTCTTAAATTCTTAATCCTTACATCATCTTTCTGTTCATGTCCTGTTTGTCAAAGTTTTATAGATTAATTTATAGATATTTCAGCTCATTTACTCCATCCCCTGGAATAAGCAGTGATTCTGAAAGTCTTACAATGAATTTTGGTGTTTGGTTTAATGAACCCTTTGTTTGTTATTAATTATAAAATAGATTAGTTAGATCGCAAATAACCACCAGAAACGAACTTAATTTTACTCCGTCTCTCCTTTTTCTAACTTGATTTACAAAATCACGTCACTCTTATGAATTTGAGAGTAGACAAATCCAGCTACGTAAACCGTCATTTCCTTAATTTAATCTTTATTCCCGTCAACTCCACTTATTGCCATTTTGCTTTTAAAGTTCGTAAAAAATAACTACAAAAGTTCTAGTCATCGTTTGTTATGTCACTTCATACCAAATTCATTCTCCCTCCCCAGACAATTTTTTGAAGATAAATATGAGATAAGGATCAAACTAGACTACAGCTAACACGAGTACAAGCTCAAGGGACCACAGATTCTTAAAGAGGATGGAATATCATGGGATTTGAGGTTTTCACCCAAAGAATTGGGTATATGATACAATGGGGGCATTTGGCTTTTGTTTTCTTGATTCATGAATAAGACCTAGATACATTGAATTCCACAGAAAAGTGCTTTCTTTCTTCTTTTTCCCCCCTTCTCCAAGACCCATTTTAATACAAGTTTATGGGAAAAAGCCAAAACCCTTCTCTAGTCACATCTTATTGAAGCAGTGGTGCCATTTCTCCCATTGTTCCATGTCTCTTTGTATATCAACACATTCGAAGTCCTTATCTACATCCTCTTAGCTAGCTGTCCTATCAGAATTTATGTTCTTTTCTCGTATAAGATACATATACTATTTTTGTTTCTTGCTGTGTCTAATATTACGTACTAAACATACACTAAACAATAAGATTCAAGAAGTACCCAATCTCAACTAAAAACAATCGTTTCAAGTAAATCGATAACAAAAGGCCCAAATCCAGTTCGAAGATGGAATGGAATTATATATTAGAAAATGTTGGAAGGTTTTTTCTTATAGAACGTGAGAAGATGAGTAGAGAGAGAAGTTGGAATATTGCAGAAACTTGAACTTGACAATACCAACTTTAAAACATGCTAAAATGTCGCATACTCGTACGTGTATTTGTCACCACCAATTTTCACGATGCTCACGAATACAAATATGCCTCAAAGATATGATGAGTCTCAGTGTTATTTGCGTTGTGCAAACACGAAGAGAAGCCGAACGCCAAAGAAAAAGTATAAACAAGATTGGAGGAGAAGAATGCACACAATTCGAATTTGAGATGCAAAATAGAGGCAAAGTAAGAACTTCAAAATTCTTGTATCATCAAATGGAAATGGTGAAACCTTATAGATTTTTCATCTAGAAGTTACATCCATTCATATGTAGCTTTTTGGCTTGAATTGAAATTCAGATTTAGTAGAACTTAAAACAAAAAAAACTGCCCAAATAATCAAAGTATGGAGACAATGGCTGCAATTGTAAAACTGTTTAGATATAAAATCCGAATAAGAGTACCTGGTGACACTATTGACACCAGAACAATTCCAAATTTGGGTCCGTCTAGAATCTCAACCACAATTATGAGAATCAATCGAATTTATCTAGAAGTATAAAAAGAAAAAAACTGGTAGTAATACAAGGGAAATTGCCTTATGTTCTTTTATCCATGTATACACTGAGATTCATTTTTCTCTACAGATACACTGGTTTTCCATGACCCCACCATCCTCGTACAATTGATTGGAGCCAAATTCCCAGGAAGGGCATATCTTCTCTCAAGCCATGGTGCTACTCTTTAACACAGTATTCTGTGCACGTCGTATCAATACAGTCAACGTTCTTATCTACAACGTCTTGGTGAGCTGATCCCTAACAAAATTTTTGTTCTCCTTTACTAGAAAATGCTAATTAATTTGAACCGTAAGTTGGCATAAATCCTTTGGCGTGTTGACTCTCCATTTCAAGGGTCATCAAGGATTTCTGCCTGTGATATCTGTTTCTCTTTGCAGCAAGAGCTGGACGAGATAATAATTAAAGAAAGCAAAGGAAAAATCACAATGTTATGTGAGCACAGTTGCAAAATAAAAATAAAAATACAACAACCAGCAAGTTACATTTGATTCTTATTTGATGCAACCGGTTTAATCTGACGTGAAACTAAGGCTGATCAACTGATTTAAGAACATGCAATTACACAAACAGTGTCAACAAAAGTCAAGTCCTTTACTTGTAGGGACAAAAGTTTTGGTGAACACGAAAAGAAGGAACAAAAATCTTGCAGCATGGATTGTTAGGTCTGAGCAAGCCTTGCCCCAACAGTGGCATATAAAGGCTGAAAGATGAGCCATTACCTCAAAAGTAAAGAAGAGACAACTTTAAAATCCATAACACAAATATTTTGTTAGAAAGACCAAGAGAAGACAGGTGTTAGAGTGGAATATACCTTGAGTACACAGCAAATATCAAAGAATTTAAGGAGATAAATAGAACATGATGATACTAGTTAAAGAAGAACTTACACATTAGTTCATGAGGTAGACCAAAGTCATAGTCATTGCGCCTCCTCCACACACAACAATAGTACATCCCAAGCAGCAGCACCGATAATAAAAATAGACAGGCAAGACCGATAGCAACTTTGCCACCAGTAGATAAGCCATTTTTCCCCCAAAATAGTGGACAATCAGGCAAAGATGGTACACCACACAAGCCTTTGTTGCCAGAAAGACTGTGAAAGAAACAAAAGTATCTTAGAGAAGTAAAAGAGACCGCTATAAGTTTCGAGGAAGCAAGAATTGAAGCTGAAATTAGAAAAAAGAACTCATGTTTATTTTATGAACATATATGGTGATTAGATCTTGATGGTCTGGCAGATATACCCTTTATCCCCTACCCTAGAAAAATTCTAGGGTGACAGTTCATTGTGCTAAGAGTGAACAATGATTGCTAGGCAAGCTTTGACAAACTTGATAAAGTTCGCACACGTACGTATTTATGTTAGAGTTGATATACCAACATTTGTGTTGCGTTTTGATACCCAATAAATCCCGAGTTTTGATATAAACATTGAATATAATTTCACAGGCCTCGGTCAAATGCTGAATTGATTACCAACAACAATGTTCAAAGGCTTGACCCAAAAGCAACGTGGACAGTTGGAAGTAGCTTAAAAAATTAATCTTATATATATATACCTATTGGATGGCTTTCAGTCTTGATTCATTTAACCCTATTATTGGTCCAACTAAAGCTTAACATGTTCCTATATATGTTGCTTTTGACCTAGCCTTGCGTGTGTGATTTGTGTATGAAATTGTAGGAAAAATCGTGGCTGCTCCTTAGACCAAAAAACGGCTGCCATAATGAAGAAAAAACCAGTGACTTCCTTTAGCATATTTGGCCTCCTGTTTGTATTTTCATTGCCTTCTCCTTGCCTTCGTGGCTACAAATCAACACCATTATCTTGTCCTTTGTGGGTAAAATGAAAAAGCAATTGAAGTGAATATATTGGTTGTAGGTTGGAGCCATTTAGATTGGTTGTTTGGTAGATAAAGGTAATGTAAAACTGAGCCCAAAAAGCACCATTTAGGATATTTTTGAAGCGAGCTTCCGCAACAATTTGCATTCAAAGTTATGTCTTCTCTACAGCCCCAATATAGAGCTCTTCGGTGATATGGTCCTGGAATGAAACATGAGATACCGGAATGTGCATATGAAAATTAGCACGGTAAAGAATCTAGGTACACGAACCACACATATATCATATAAAAGTTGCGAATGAACAAGATATTGAGGAATTGTCCATACGTAAAATCATAATTATAGATACTTGTACAAAGACACAAGCCATACGTAAAATCATAATTATAGATACTTGTACAAAGACACAAGAAAGCATACTCTTCATAGACCAGAACTGCTCTCAATCAAATCTCCCCAGCATAAGTGCAATGCAGGAAAAGATGATAACTTGGAACCTTCCAATATTAGTTTCCTCAATTTACAAATAGCATGCCCTTTAACCGGTAGTATTAATGTGCCTCTCAATAAGATCCACTTCCATACATGATTCTCATTCTTTAGTTCAAGATACACACTACAAATTATCCAAATTCTCCTTCCCAAGGTCAAAAGGCGTATACTCCTCGACAAGAGGCTAATTAATGTATAAGCCTGCTAGTGGAATTTGTATCCATTTAAACTTTTATGTTTTCAGGTTATAATACTGTTTATAATTCCTGAACAACAATAAGATATATGCAAAACGTTACATTGGTTAATTATTTACAACTACAATTTCAAATTTGTGTACCCATAACCAGATATGTAGAATTGCCTTGCATCAGGTAAATGTTACAAAAGTGAGACATACGAGCCTCATAATAGTTCTCATTTATACAGAATTCGACCTTTCAATTTTTTTGAGAGTTGTGATAGAAGAAAAAATGGTGCCTAGAAGAGTAATAATAGCAAAAAAGAGGCTCAACAAAACAACTGAATGTCATGACTAGGACAGAGACACAGTTGGAAGGAAATTAAATGAAGTCTACTCTTGATATTCTAGATTTAAAAGAAAAAGAAAACTTAGCAACAATTCTTGGGGGAAATTGCCCCCTCAAGGAAAATATTACAGTGAAAGCGACTCCCGTAACCAGGAACTAATGCAGTTTGGACAAACATCAACATCCATATACCACAGATGACCTAATTCTATCATATGCCAATTTTCAGATACTTCGTGCTAGTGGTTTAATCAATTTAAAATTTGAAGAATCTAGATGCTGCAGTAACCACAACAATATTAAATTAAATAGCCAATCTGGATCATACAAGCCAATAGGTATAAAACATTATACAAGAGAAGTCAACAGGCAACATAGGTTATGGGTCTTAGAATTAAACAATGAAGGGAAAAATGAATACAGGAAAATAAGAAGAATAGATTAAGTGATGACATACTCAATAGCACCACCATGCACCCCAATCGAATAAAGTTCCTCTGGGACTTGGCCTTCCAGTAAGTTATTATTTAACAACCTAATCAAAATAACACAATTTACATAACTTAAACAAGAGTTTGTGAGCAATTTTAATGATGTGTACAATGTTCAATGATGTTAATTGCACAATCAACTAAAAAGGAAAATAATCCTACATAATTGGAAAAATATAATAAAAGATTATTCTAGACAATATTTCAATATTCCATATCTTTAACAGTTCAACCCTTAAAGTTTATATTCTTTTCGCCAATTGCAGGAAGTAGAAAATTCAAAGGAAGTTCTAAGGTTACATTTAAAATACTAAGTGATGACAAAAACTATCTGTTTTATGATACATAAGCCAACTATATATAATAAGATAAGAAGCCCCTCTGCAGTCGGTCCATTTACTTACACAAGCTGCAAAGTGGAAGAAGTCAGACTATCCGGTATAATGCCAGTAAACTTATTATCTGATAAATCCCTGCATCAGCACAGAACAAAGAATTAGCTAAGAGAATAGAGAAGACAGATAACATATATGTAGCACCAATGCGCATAAATAACTGTATTTCAATGGATAGAAAACTGAAATAATTTTCTTGAATTTGTCTAGACTAAAGCATTGTTGCCTTCGAGAATATATGCCTAAACCCTCTATAAAAGAGTAACAGAGTTACTAACTGAACCAAAATCTTCACAACTTGATTGAAAATCAAAACAACTTATTCTGGAGCTTCTATCATGCAAACTACTTTCAGAAATGACTTAAGATAAATAATAAAGTGAACAGAAAATTTTGCTGCTCAGAAAGTTTAGAATCTATAAACTAAATATATCAAACAAAGAAAAAAGTGTCAAACACAAACACACTGGAAGTATAATCTTACAGCTTCACAAGAGACTTGTGGCCCAACCCTGAGGGCAGATCTCCTCCTAGAGAGTTAGAACTCAAGTTCCTGCACACCAACAGATGTTTGTTGATGTAAAATTGATCCAAAAGGAACAAAAAAATAAAAATTAAATACATCGAACCATAAAGATTCAAGCTCATTTTTGTGGCTTTCCAGAAATTTTGAGGAATCATTTCTTGAGAAACTTCGACTTTGCAGAATCTTATTTTGAACTCTGTAAAGGTTCATTGACAGTAAATCCTTTTCCATTGCAGTTTATGAATGTCCAGTGTTGGAGAAACAGAATATCTGAATGTAATGCTGATATTTTTTTAAGTTAAAGATTGAATGCCAATTATAGCCACTGCCAATAAAATTATCACTTGAATATCAGAACCAACTAGCTACAGAAAGCATCCAATGTGGCTTAATTCCTCTTTCTGCATGCTCATTAGCAGGATTGTAATTTGAAAATTTACCACAAGATAATTTCTATTCGAGCAGCAATTTATTCATCAGTAGTCACAATATCGGATGAGTAAAAAAGCGACTGGTGATACTTACAGGCTTACCAAATTCGTCAAGAGACCTATTTGGTCACTAATATGCCCTTTCAAACCTTGGCTACCAAGATCTCTGAAAAGTAAAATAAAACAAAACGTGCAATGGAATTAGGTCAACATATATATCAATTAAGCTTCCATCACTTCATAATATGGTTTGAAAAAATGAGTGCTTTCAGATGGTAATTAAAGATCAGTCAATATTAGGAGAAAGTAGAGTTCAATGACTTAGAAATCAACGAGAGGTTAATGCCATTATTATGAGTAGTAGTTGGCAGTGCTAAGCAAACCCATATCAAATGATAACGCGCAGATGTAAGAAACCAAAACTTCTTAACTAGAAGCGGGTCTACTAGTGAGAAACATTATTGTGAAGCCTATATAATACAGCCAGTGAAGTAGATGCAGGAACTGAGGAAAGAGAAATTTTATTAAAACAGTAATTTATTTCTAGCCAGAAAATACTTTTTGATGAGAAGATCTGTGTCTTCTTTCTACTTTTCTCTCAAATAGATTAATTAGCAGGGTCAATTAAGGTCCCTACATTAAGTTCGTCCATGGATTTTACAATGAAGTTCATCAAAATACCAAGAATTAAGTACTTCTAAATCATCATATTATATTAAAGATGACTGCACAATTTTTTCCAGTAATTGCCTCACAGATTTTTCTAATACATATGGATATGGACACCTTCTAAGAGAGAGAAAATGCTTACATTTTGGATACCACGAGGACAGTTTCATTATTTATGGAATGACATGTAACTCCCTCCCAAGCATCCCATGTAGTGGGGGCACAAGGATCTCCATTCCAACCCATTCTGTCAGGAACACGAAGTGACTCCTTCAGTGCTCTCATGGCAATGACTGCAGAAATTTAGGCTGAAATTACTTCTTGTGTCTAGTAACAATTTTCAAATTTTATTAGCATGTTCCCTTTGAATATATAATTAGTTAATGACGATAATTACCTCATCTCCAAAATTCCCTTATATCCTTAAAAAACTAGAAATGTACTGTAATCGTATGCAAGTTGATAGTTTCATTACATTGAAACTAGAAGTGAAGTCCAAAGACCATGTCCACGTAAATACTCTAACCCATCTTCTACTAAATAAGTTAACAAAATTAACTATGAATACCATCACAGAGATTATGGCAGAACTATATACCTTTCATTCATTCCAAATTTTTAAACAATTCAGGAATGAGATGATTTACGATCACTAGTCAATTCTGGCATTTAACTTCTTAGAAATGCTCTTTTTTCTAACCTCCATTTTCTTATATACAATACTTCCATATTTGAATCCAGAATCCGAAGATCAATCAAATATTTTTATTGCCTCTTACCCTGATCAGGAGAAGTTTTGAGATCAACTGGCACAATTGCATAATTTTCGAGCCCACAAATGATCGGCGCGCCCACAACTGCCTCTAGCCTCACACTCAGAGTAGTAGTGCGTAAATTCTTCACTACATAGCTCCAATCATACGCGGCGAATCCCCCTACCTGCTTGTACACGTCCACCCTATTCACGTTCTCCCCATTCACAAAAACATCGAACACCCTCTGCCCAGCCTTATTCACACTAACATCAATCTCTGCAAAATGGAACCACAATAAATAATCCAGCTTGGCATCCACAGGCAACTCATACTCTAGTGCTCCAAGCCCATCCCCCGACACAGTCAACGCGGTCTGATACAGCTTTTCAGGGAAATAATTTGGACTTCTTTCAACGTTTACTACATTTTTTATGGAAGAAATGGCTTTGATTGTTGCCCCACTAGCAACAGCCACGGATCCTACTCGGAAGTCGGCACCGGATTGCCAAGACCGGCCAAAAAAATCTGTGTCGTTGCTGAACCCGGGGCCCCATTGATCCGACCCGGATGAGAACCTGCCATAATTCACCAATATGTAATTGCTGGAATTACTGGTATAGTCAAAAGGGTAAGCATTTGGGTCAATTTGGGTTAATTGCAGGGACCCGACAACCGGAGAATCAGTGGCAATGCTGTAAAAACATATATCGGCCTCGGAATCATTCAAGTAAAAGAAGAGATCTGAGTAAGCGCCGGAGCGAGAAACAGATTCGGGCCACGGGGAGCGCCAAGAAAAGACTAAAGTACCCTCGACGGAGATGTCAAAAGAAGGCGAGTGGGACTTGCCATCGAAATTGTCATAAACAATGAAGGTCCGGAGGAAGTAGCGGCCGACGCCAGCTGGGATGGTGTAGCAATTCTTCTTGCCAGAAGAAACTGGGAAGTAACGAAGAGTCTTCTCCTGCTCGTGCAGGAAGTGAAGGGGCTCGGAGACGATAGCAGTGGCGCCGCCGGAGTAGTAACGGTCGGATACCCACGTAGTCTTGAACGCATCAGTAGAGTTGACTAGGCCACCACAATCAATGTGTATAGTGTAGTCTGTAAAAAAACACAAGAATCGCAGTTAGTTAGTTAATTCAGCTGGAAATTGAAATGATATAGTAGTATGTGTTATGGGACTTACTGAAGGGGTACGAGACAGAAATGGCGGTGGGGATGAGGAAGAGGAGGAGGAGGAGTTGGTGGTGGCCGAGGGACATTGTGATGCGGTGGCAATTGTTAATGCTGGCTTTTGGACATTATTATATGAGAGAAATGTGGTGGTGGAGTGGGTGGGCGGGCGTATTCAGCTGGAAATTGAAATGATATAGTAGTATGTGTTATGGGACTTACTGAAGGGGTACGAGACAGAAATGGCGGTGGGGATGGGGATGAGGAAGAGGAGGAGGAGGAGGTGGTGGTGGCCGAGGGACATTGTGATGCGGTGGCAATTGTTAATGCTGGCTTTTGGACATTATTATATGAGAGAAATGTGGTGGTGGAGTGGGTGGGCGGGCGAGATTAGCGGTACAGTGAAGAAGAAAGTCAAGTAAACGGAATGAGAAGGACTGCTTTGGGAATAAAAAAAATTCTATAAAATATGAAGATTAGTTTGAAGATTTGCAGATTGGCTGCTAGATTTGTGGCTTTCTTGGACCGACCGGGTTTTTGGGGGGTAATGACGGGTGAAGTAGACGTTTCATAAACTACCTCTCATGCTTGGAAAAATAAATATTCAAGTTGACTCCATAATTGGGTTTGTTTAGTTTGTCCCGAGTTTAACAACGTTTAAAAATTTAAATTATTTGCTACAATATCATTTTTTATCATACGAATACACAATAAAATATTTTATACACAAATAAATAAAATTTCCTTGCCTTATAACCACATATTCTGCAAAAAAAACTATTTAAGAAAGACTCTTTAATTTTTCAAGTAATGGGTGTCAAACAAGGCTTTGGTTTATCGAGTTAAAGTGTCGATGATAAATATGGCAAGCATATGTGGGTAACAAGATGTCTTATGAGAAACTCTCGAGAGTCATGCCGGCAACTTCTTTATATGAAGTTAAGGTTATTACTGAAACGTTATGATATAGCTTCAACGTGTAACACCAAATGTTTATGATACAAAATTGTTTAGTTATTTTGCCCATCAACGAGATGCATATTATAGAAAAGATAGTAAAAGTTGAGATGTATTGATTCTGTTAGACATTTCCATCAATATGGTGAATTCATAAACAGTAAAAGCAGACATGAGTTAGCGAGAAGAAGGGAATAGTCGAATCAATTTCGACAATTAAATTACTTATCTACAATTTCAACAAAATACTTTCAACATTTGAAAAAAATTCGCGAACCTAAATGAAATGATCGGTGTTTATTGCATAGATCTTCGATGCATTTTTCATCGTCTTTTTTTACAATCATTGATGACTTGAACAGAAGAATTCGACATTAATTTCGAGCTTATATTCAATGAGTCCATTTTCAAATATCATCAATGGTCGTCGAATTGCCATATATAAACAAAAAACAACACAATATATCCTATTATTTTCATTTTTAACATTTCTAACACGTTAGTATTCAATTTATAATTTATACATGTCGAAATAAATTCCTTTTTATTTAATTTAATTAAGTTAATACAAATGGAATAAAGACATTATATTCTAGCCAGAGAGAGGCCAGAGAAAATAAGAGAATGCCCATCGAACGTGGTGATCATGCCAATGGCCATGATGAAATATATTAATGGAGCAAAGCAAAAATGTCAAACTTCATTTATGGTCATATCCAACTTTGGAGGTGCCACTGAAAAGGTCCATTTATTGGATCCACACACAAAAATCTGTCATGTAAGTGGAAATAAATGGAGCAGGTAAATAAATTGAACCTTGAAACAGTACAATAAAATTGAACCTAAATTGCACCGCTTTTGGTTTGCTTCATTGTTAGAACGAAATACCACTCTTCTAAAATGCGATGTCTAAACGTTCAAAAAGATGTCAACTCTTATATTAACCACCTAATCCCAGGGGCAAGATTTTTATTTTATTTTTTTTCCTTTTTTTTTTAAATATATTTTTGGGGTTTGAAATTTGAAACTCAAGTGTTTTGGGAGTTAAAAGACTCTTAAATCCTAATTATTCAAAAAGAAAAAGAAAAAAATTGAACCTCTTAAAGCCAACTTAAACAAAAGAGGTCGAAGCCCACCATGCACACAAGCTGTCGTAGTTGAGTCGATATAGCTTTGAACTTGTGAATGTTGCCTAAATAGCTTGATTGTCATGATTCACAAGATTCATTTGGAATAAGCGAGCATGCCAACAAGCCAAAGAAAAAAAATGTGATGCTCACCAAAAACTTGACAAACACTCTCCCAACTCACGAAGTAGTTTGATAACTTCTAGAATTTAAAGTAACTTGACCATTATAGTTAAATCGACCAGTGTTCATATCCATAAATGAAGTTCATCACAACGAACAGAAACAAGAAGTATCATATTGACTTGTCTATCATAAATTCTGCTAATAATTTGTTGAACAATGCTAAGTGTATAAAATTTAGTTCACGGAATTTTTATAGATATACATTTAACGATTTTTCAGTTGTTCATGGCAGAAAACAAATCCAATTAAATGCTGTCAACGCAAAATCTGGAGCATTTTTATGAGATATTTCTTTGTACATACAGTTTTTTCCTAATTTGTTTAGTCACTCATTTGCAAATTATTTTCTTTTTGTTGAAAAGCATTTCTTATTCAGTTGTGCTACTTGCATAGACCCTTTTGCACAGAGTCTTTACAGGTACACACACATGGAGGTGAACCCCACACATGAGATTCACTCCCATGTGAGAGCCTGAAATGTGGTGGTGGAGTGGGTGGGCGGGCGTGATTAGCGGTACAGTGAAGAAGAAAGTCAAGTAAACGGAATGAGAAGGACTGCTTTGGGAATAAAAAAAATTCTATAAAATATGAAGATTAGTTTGAAGATTTGCAGATTGGCTGCTAGATTTGTGGCTTTCTTGGACCGACCGGGTTTTTGGGGGGTAATGACGGGTGAAGTAGACGTTTCATAAACTACCTCTCATGCTTGGAAAAATAAATATTCAAGTTGACTCCATAATTGGGTTTGTTTAGTTTGTCCCGAGTTTAACAACGTTTAAAAATTTAAATTATTTGCTACAATATCATTTTTTATCATACGAATACACAATAAAATATTTTATACACAAATAAATAAAATTTCCTTGCGTTATAACCACATATTCTGCAAAAAAAACTATTTAAGACTCTTTAATTTTTCAAGTAATGGGTGTCAAACAAGGCCTTGGTTTATCGAGTTAAAGTGTCGATGATAAATATGGCAAGCATATGTGGGTAACAAGATGTCTTATGAGAAACTCTCGAGAGTCATGCCGGCAACTTCTTTATATGAAGTTAAGGTTATTACTGAAACGTTATGATATAGCTTCAACGTGTAACACCAAATGTTTATGATACAAAATTGTTTAGTTATTTTGCCCATCAACGAGATGCATATTATAGAAAAGATAGTAAAAGTTGAGATGTATTGATTCTGTTAGACATTTCCATCAATATGGTGAATTCATAAACAGTAAAAGCAGACATGAGTTAGCGAGAAGAAGGGAATAGTCGAATCAATTTCGACAATTAAATTACTTATCTACAATTTCAACAAAATACTTTCAACATTTGAAAAAAATTCGCGAACCTAAATGAAATGATCGGTGTTTATTGCATAGATCTTCGATGCATTTTTCATCGTCTTTTTTTACAATCATTGATGACTTGAACAGAAGAATTCGACATTAATTTCGAGCTTATATTCAATGAGTCCATTTTCAAATATCATCAATGGTCGTCGAATTGCCATATATAAACAAAAAACAACACAATATATCCTATTATTTTCATTTTTAACATTTCTAACACGTTAGTATTCAATTTATAATTTATACATGTCGAAATAAATTCCTTTTTATTTAATTTAATTAAGTTAATACAAATGGAATAAAGACATTATATTCTAGCCAGAGAGAGGCCAGAGAAAATAAGAGAATGCCCATCGAACGTGGTGATCATGCCAATGGCCATGATGAAATATATTAATGGAGCAAAGCAAAAATGTCAAACTTCATTTATGGTCATATCCAACTTTGGAGGTGCCACTGAAAAGGTCCATTTATTGGATCCACACACAAAAATCTGTCATGTAAGTGGAAATAAATGGAGCAGGTAAATAAATTGAACCTTGAAACAGTACAATAAAATTGAACCTAAATTGCACCGCTTTTGGTTTGCTTCATTGTTAGAACGAAATACCACTCTTCTAAAATGCGATGTCTAAACGTTCAAAAAGATGTCAACTCTTATATTAACCACCTAATCCCAGGGGCAAGATTTTTATTTTATTTTTTTTCCTTTTTTTTTTAAATATATTTTTGGGGTTTGAAATTTGAAACTCAAGTGTTTTGGGAGTTAAAAGACTCTTAAATCCTAATTATTCAAAAAGAAAAAGAAAAAAATTGAACCTCTTAAAGCCAACTTAAACAAAAGAGGTCGAAGCCCACCATGCACACAAGCTGTCGTAGTTGAGTCGATATAGCTTTGAACTTGTGAATGTTGCCTAAATAGCTTGATTGTCATGATTCACAAGATTCATTTGGAATAAGCGAGCATGCCAACAAGCCAAAGAAAAAAAATGTGATGCTCACCAAAAACTTGACAAACACTCTCCCAACTCACGAAGTAGTTTGATAACTTCTAGAATTTAAAGTAACTTGACCATTATAGTTAAATCGACCAGTGTTCATATCCATAAATGAAGTTCATCACAACGAACAGAAACAAGAAGTATCATATTGACTTGTCTATCATAAATTCTGCTAATAATTTGTTGAACAATGCTAAGTGTATAAAATTTAGTTCACGGAATTTTTATAGATATACATTTAACGATTTTTCAGTTGTTCATGGCAGAAAACAAATCCAATTAAATGCTGTCAACGCAAAATCTGGAGCATTTTTATGAGATATTTCTTTGTACATACAGTTTTTTCCTAATTTGTTTAGTCACTCATTTGCAAATTATTTTCTTTTTGTTGAAAAGCATTTCTTATTCAGTTGTGCTACTTGCATAGACCCTTTTGCACAGAGTCTTTACAGGTACACACACATGGAGGTGAACCCCACACATGAGATTCACTCCCATGTGAGAGCCTTGTATAGATCCTATACAAAGAAAGCCTGTGCAGTGAGCTTTATTCTTCTTATTTTTATTGAAAACCCAAGGGACTGGTATTACTTACTACTGCTACTACAAGGCAGAGCAGTTTGGCAGTAATTGAGGAACACAGATGAGCCAGGATGATCACACCTCGGAAATGTGAAAACTCTGGAATGAGGTCCCATTCTCTTGCATCCAAGCTTTGATTTTACAGCTACATATTCTAATGCTTAAGCAATCAGAAAAATAAATTAATTGATCTGTACTTGTTTAGGAGGATTTTGTTAAATGATTTTTTGATCGTTAAAGATA